TAAATCAGAGGGTTCATGCAGGAGTTCATTAACATGATCCAAGACAGAACAGCAAAGTATGAAAAGTTATTTGAAGTGTTCTGACCTGCAAGAGAGGGATAGTAATATGGGCAGAAGCACATTAGAAACACAGCTATCACAATCCCGAGAGTCCTGGCTGCTTTCCTCTCTGAGATCTTTGCAKTTKTACCTGATCTCGCATTAGCAGCAGCAGTGTGTGCCTGAATTAAACGCACTTGAGAAATAGCAACCACAAACACCCGCACGTACAGAACCACCATGACAGTACAGGGCCCGACAAAGGTGAAGAAGAAGTCAAGCCAACATGTCTCCATGTGACGCAGGCCCTCGATGGGCATCGCCAGCAGCCCCACCACCAGGTCGGACACGGCCAGAGACAGGAGCAGGGAGTTGGTCGGGGTGTGGAGCTGCCTGAAGTGAGAGATGGAGATGATGACAAGCAGGTTGAGTGTCACGGTGAGCAGAGAGACGGAGGCCAGCAGAGTGTAGAGAAGAGCAGCCTCGGAGCGGGGCCGCCGCAGCAGATGCCTGCAGGAGGAGTTCAGGCTGGGGAAGCAGAGCRGGGGGGCCCCAGCATCTTCCATCAGGGAGGAGTGGAAGCAGGGAGGAGATGGTGGTCAGCTTTAAGAGTCTAAAGAGTCAGTAAAAAAAATTACAAAAAAAAAATTGTGAGTGTTTAAGAGGCACGGATGGCACAAGGCTGCCTGCTGCTGGCTCAGTTCACCAAGCAAGTCTATAAACCAATATGGGCAGTTAAAGGATATTGCTTTGGCTAAGTAATGTGAGATTGTGTGTGTGTGTGTGTGCGTGTGTGTGTGTGCGAAAGAAACCAAAAAAGACTTGTAGAAGTAGAAAAAAAAGGCAAACATGCTTTTAAGCTACATATGGTTTTGGCTGCTACAATATATAGACATACAGCAGCACTTAGGCACAGGGGCTGAAAATATATAATTCAGTCCAATGCAGCCCTCTTGAGACTTTCTTGGTTTGATATAAACCAAGAAAGTGTCTTCCCTCTTCCCATGATAGTTCTCTGATAATATATATATAATATCATCATGCATTTTAGGGTTAATCAACACTTTAAAGTGGTTTTACTAGAGTTGGTATCACTGGCTTGTAACATCTTAGTGTATCTCTGCTCCTGGAATCTGTATGTCATAAAGTATGACACAAACGTTTCATATTATGATGAGGCATAAAAATGTAAAATAGTACAGTAAACCATAAAATCATCAAGAGATGAATTGTATATTAAGGCAAANAGGGAGTTGGTCGGGGTGTGGAGCTGCCTGAAGTGAGAGATGGAGATGATGACGAGCAGGTTGAGTGTCACGGTGAGCAGAGAGACGGAGGCCAGCAGAGTGTAGAGAAGAGCAGCCTCGGAGCGAGGCCGCAGCAGACGTCTGCAGGAGGAGTTCAGGCTGGGGAAGCAGAGCGGGGGGGCCCCAGCATCTTCCATCAGGGAGGAGTGGAAGAGCTGCAACTTCCTATCAGACAGTTCATTTATCCTCCCTAAACCCAGCCCCCCTTCCAAATGACTGATGCAAGACCTTCGTCATCCTCTTCATCATTTCTAACTCCTAACAACATAATTTTGATTCATCATTCATTTGTACTCTGTGGTTTGCAATGAATGATTAAATCTGTTGAGTTTATACTCTCAACAGTTTTAAGTTTATCCACTTGATTTCATGAAATGCTCAAATTGTGATTTTAAAAGCAGCTGTAAGTAGTTAATAAGAAAAATGCAAATCAAATCCAAAATGTATCTGTCTTTAACTGGACGTTATTATTTTGTACATTTAGTTCTTCTTCACACAATGAGTCAATAACAAATCTACTAAATTACTGTGGCACAAAAAAAATACAATTTGTGCAGATGTACTATTAAAAAACATAGAAATTCAAAAGGAAGTACTGTTAAGTGTGAATGCAACAAACTGTCAAATATCAAATATTAAGTTATGAGGTCAATGTCCTCAAGTAAAGTATGTTTTTAACCTGATAACTCGTCCTGTTTATTTCACTATATTTTTGCCTTGAGATAAAATTAATTCTTGGTTTGTTTGTTTTCTATTCTGGTTGAAGCAAATGTAACGAAATCCAAATTTTTACTGGGTCAATAAAGGATTCATAAAAAACAATGTGAAATATTTAAAGATGCTTGATTGTGGTTTGTGAGACATACTGTACCGCATTGGAGTCAAATTACGCCCTCAAGTGGTGAAAGCTAAGAAGTGCATGCCTATTGACTTGGCCTTTCTAATATGGAGGTTTGTGTTTGACTTGCATTTATAGAATTATACAACTGTATACTTCCGTTCTTTTATTTGAAGGAATTCAAACTATTGAATCAAATGATGAAAATGTTTGTCTACCTTTAGGTTTTAAAAGCAATAATTTGGGCTTAAAGGAAAAACTTTTATTCTCTTGCTATTATTTAGAATTTCTATTTCAAAGCCATTTACTGTAATTTCATATTTAATCATGGAATCTTCTTAATATTTATTATATTCTTATTTACAGACCTAATTAATGGACACCTGGCTGTTGCTGCCTAGCGGGTAAGTTCGAGCGACAAAGCAATGATTCAGAATAAAGATATGATTATGTTGTGTAACACTTATGGACGTTTACATACATTTTTATTTTGTGTGTCACTGAGGACATGAGGAAGTGAAACGATGACTGGAACAACAATGGAGTGAGAAGGAAGATAAATGAACATCATGAACAGACCAGAACATAATAAAGTAGGTATGATGATGTGTGTGATAATATGATCAGTCTGTGATTGGAAGTGTGGACAGGGTGGTTTGGAATTAGGAATATGGCATTAAACAAACATGATTTAACTGTCCTAATGATAAATATAATAGATTCATACAGTATACAACCACAGTAATCATTCTAGTAATTATTATATAAATAGCAATGGAGTGACGGTAGTTCAAATATGAATAGTTCAGAAATTGGTGGTCAAAGCTCACCGCAGTAAACATTCAATTTATAATATGTGACAAACTGGTTTAGAGTCGCATTCTAGATCTTAAATTCTACATTTGTTATAATAGTTGTAGTGGACACACGTTTCATGCATTCAGTGTTTCCTTCAAGGTCAGTAAACAAGACATTTGTTTGTTTGTTTGTTTTAAAGGTGAGTTGAGGAAAAAAGCGGATTACATTCTTATAACAATTTGTGCCTGAGTCCACTGTTCAGGGCTCTGTGGTGCTGCAGCATTTCTCTCTCTGATCCTCTGAAAAGTTTACAGTACATTGACCTCCCGCGAGTGAGCCTGCAGTATTCTGAGGGTGAAAATGAGTTTGATAGCTTTTCTAAACCAGGGGTAGAACAGGGCGTAAATTAGAGGATTTACACAGGAGTTGATCAGCATGATCCAAGACAACATGGCATAGTAGGACAAGCTGCTGGAGGTGTCCTCACCTGCCAGGGCGGGATAGTAATACGGGCAGAAGCACATTAGAAACACAGCTATCACAATGCCCAGAGTCCTGGCTGCCTTCCTCTCTGACTTTTTAGCAGTGGGAGCCGCAGTGAAAGTGCTGGTGACTATCTGCAGCCGAATGACACGCACCTGAGAGACGGCAACCACAAACACCCTCATATACAGACCCACCATGACAGTGCAGGGCCCGATGAAGGAGAAGAAGAGATCTAATGTGCCTGAGATGTGGTTAATGACCACAACACACTCCCCGTGGCAGGAGTTGTATCTGTCCGGCCACGCTAAGTGTCCCATCAAGATGAAACCGTTATAGAGAAGAGAGCAGGCCCAGGACAGACTGATTAAGATTTTAACCCTGTTCAGTGTGATCTTAGAAGAATAGAGCAGTGGGTCACAGATGGCCAGGTAGCGGTCTATCGATATGAGCACCATGTTGCCCAAAGAGGCAGAGAGCAGACAGTAGGACAGATAAGGAGTCAGAGCGCACATCAGCCTCCCCAGCAGCCAACATGTCTCCATGTGACGCAGGCCCTCGATGGGCATCGCCAGCAGCCCCACCACCAGGTCGGACACGGCCAGAGACAGGAGCAGGGAGTTGGTCGGGGTGTGGAGCTGCCTGAAGTGAGAGATGGAGATGATGACGAGCAGGTTGAGTGTCACGGTGAGCAGAGAGACGGAGGCCAGCAGAGTGTAGAGAAGAGCAGCCTCGGAGCG